CCAGGAGTGGAATTGCTGGATCATGTGGTGATTCTATTGCTAATTATTTGGGGGCCAACACAAGGGTTCCAATTTTTTCACATCCTCACCAACACTTATTTTCCGTTATTTATTTAATTTTTTGATAGTACCCATCTTAATGGATATTGGGTAGTAACTTATTGTAGGTTAGATTTGCATTTCCCTAATGATTAATGACATTGAGCACCTTTTCATGTACTTATTCAACATTTGTATATCGTCTTTGGAGAAATGTCTATTCAAGTCCTTTGCCCATTTTTGAATTATGTTGTTTGGTTTTTTGTTGTTGTTGAGTTTTAGGAGTTCTGTATATATCCTGAGTATTAATCTCTTATCAGATATATGATTTGCAAATATATTCTCCCATTCTATGAGTTTCCATTTTACTTTGTTAATAGTGTCTTTTGAGGCACAACTTAAAATTTGCAGGAAGTTTAATTGTCTTTTTTTTTTCTTTTGTTGCCTGTGCCTTTGGTGTTACATTCAAGAAATCATTGACAAATCCCATGTCTTGAAGCTTTTGCCCTATGTTTTATTGTAAGAATTTTATGCTTTTAGGTCTTACATTTAGGTGTTGATGCCATTTTGAGTTGATTTTTTGAATATGGTTTTAGGTAATAGTCCAACTTTATTATTTTGCATATGGATAGCCAGTTTTCCCAGCACCATTTGTTGGCTGTCTTTTCCCCATTGAATGGTTTTGGCACCCTTGTCAAAAATCATTTGACATATATGCCAGTGTTTATTTCTGGGCTCTCTATTCTATTCCATTGGTCTATATGTCTGTCTTTATATCACTACTACATTATTTTCATTACTGTAGTTGTGTAGTAAGTTTTGAAATCAGGGAGTGTGAATCCTACAGCTTTGTTCTTTTTTTTTTTTTCAAGATTATTTTGGCTATCCGGGGTTCCCTGAGAGTCATATGAATGTTAGGATGGGTTTTTCTCTTTCTGCAAGAAACGTCATTGGAAATTTGATAGGAATTGCATTGAATCTGTAGATAGCTTTGGGTAGTATTGACATCTTAACAATACTAAAGCCCCCAATCCATGAACATGGGATGTCTTTTCATTTATTTATTTCTTCAATTTCTTTCAGCAGTGTTTCCTAGTTTTTATTGTACAATTGTTTCACCTTCTTGGTTAAATTAATTCCTTAGTATTTTGTTCTTTTTGGTGATTATTGTAAATGGAATTGCATTTGTAATTTCCTTTTCATGTTGCCCACTGTTAGTATGTAGAAATGCTACTTATTTTTTTGTGTTGACTTTGTATCATGCTACATTGCTGAATTAATTTATTAACTCTAACTCTGTGTGTTTGTGAAATCTTTAGGATTTTCTATGTATGAGATCACATCACCTGTATACAGAGATACTTTTACTTTTTTCTTTCTAAATTGGGTGTCTTTTACTTTTTGTTCCTTGCCAAATTGCTCTGGCTAGAACTTCCAGTAAAGTATTGAACAGAAGCAGCAAAAGAGGGAATCTTTGCTTTGTTTTTTATCTTACAGGGAAAGCTTTTAACCTTTCACCATTGATTATGATGTTTGTTATGGGTTTTTCATTTATGGCTATTATTATGTTCAGGTAGTTTCTTTTGTTCCTAGTTTGTGGAGTGTTTTTATCATGAAAAGATTAATTTTTTTCAAATGCCTTTTCTGCATCAATTGAGATGATCCTGTGGTTTTTGTTCTTTGTTGTATTAATGTCATGTACAGTGATTGGCTTTCATACATTGAGCCATCCCTTCATTCCAGAAATAAATCCCACTTGATCATGGTGTATAATACTTTTAATATGTGCCTGAATTCAGTTTACTAGTATTTTGCTGAATATTTTTGCATCAATGTTTATAAGGGATATTGGACTGTACTTTTCTTTTGATCTAGTGTCCTTGGCTAGTTTTGGTGCCAAGGTAATGCCTATTTTATAGAATGAGTCAGGAAGTGTTCCTTTCTCTTCAATATTTTAGAAAAGTTTGAGAAGGATTGGTATTAGCTCTTCTTTAAGTGGTAGAATTCACCAGTAGAGCCATTTTGGGGAAAAGCCATATCTAATTCAATAAAACTCTAAGACTCCTGGGCCAAGAGGTACAAATCATACAGCTGAAAACTTTAAAGCTTTTCCTGCTCAACTGTTCTATTAATAGTTCCACTCTCATAAGCAACTTGCCAGCAATCACAGACATTTACTAGCAAAACTAGGGCTAAATCCCTGGCCTCCTTATTCTTAGTATAGTGCTGTTTATGTGATAGCAGTTTCCAAGTAAATAAAAACCTGTTTATATATAATGTAAAATTCTTACAGAAGATGCTGTGTATCTACTTTATCTTTTTTTTTCTTTCACAGTCCATGTTAGTTTTCTTATCCAGCTGGTATTCACCCAAGCTCATGGGTAGGTGTGTGTGTTATTTACTCACCAGAAGGGTTTTTAGAGCAATAATACAAAAAGAGACTGAGAACTAGGCAAGGATGAGTAACGGGGGACTGAAATGGAGACCTCTCTTCATCCTGTCTCCTTCCTCCTCTTCCATCGTAAATATAGATCATTTATGATTGTGACGGGCCAGTGATACACTTCAACCAGCTTCCTCTGCCACATTCAAAAAACAGACTCTTGGGTCTCACCAAGAGCATGACATTGGGAGCTCAGCAGTTGATGCAGCCCAGAAAGACTTTTGTCAAAAGAAGGCAGCGTCCAGGGCTGGCCCGGTGGTGCACTGCTACAGTGCGCCGCTTGGGAGCACGGTGGCGCTCCCGCCGAGGGTTCAGATCCCACATACAGACCGGTTCCCGCTCACTGGCTGAGCGAGGTGCGGGCGCGACACCGAGGGTTGCGCTCCTGTCACCGGTTCCGGTCCGGTACGGGCACGACACTGAGGGTTGCGATCCGTTGCCAGACACGAAAAAAGACAAAAAGGAAAAAAAGAAAAAAAAAAGAAGGCAGCGTCCTAGACATAGCAGAGACTGTTTAAACAGAAAGAAAGGCTCAAGCATGAAGTTTTCTTTGTAGCCACTGGTTCTGAATATCATGGACTGAAGGAAAAAAATACCAAACAAACAAAAGTAGACTAGTTGAGCCTGAATCCAGTCCTTTGGTGGAGGATTTTCCAGATTCTAGGGGGGCCTGAAGTCATGCGGGCGCGCCACCGAGGGTTGCGCTCCTGTTGCCGGTTCCGGTCCGGTACGGGCACGACACTGAGGGTTGCGATCCGTTGCCAGACACGAAAAAAGACAAAAAGGAAAAAAAGAAAAAAAAAAGAAGGCAGCGTCCTAGACATAGCAGAGACTGTTTAAACAGAAAGAAAGGCTCAAGCATGAAGTTTTCTTTGTAGCCACTGGTTCTGAATATCATGGACTGAAGGAAAAAAATACCAAACAAACAAAAGTAGACTAGTTGAGCCTGAATCCAGTCCTTTGGTGGAGGATTTTCCAGATTCTAGGGGGGCCTGAAGTCATGCGGGCGCGCCACCGAGGGTTGCGCTCCTGTTGCCGGTTCCGGTCCGGTACGGGCACGACACTGAGGGTTGCGATCCGTTGCCAGACACGAAAAAAGACAAAAAGGAAAAAAAGAAAAAAAAAAGAAGGCAGCGTCCTAGACATAGCAGAGACTGTTTAAACAGAAAGAAAGGCTCAAGCATGAGGTTTTCTTTGTAGCCACTGGTTCTGAATATCATGGACTGAAGGAAAAAAATACAAAACAAACAAAAGTAGACTAGTTGAGCCTGAATCCAGTCCTTTGGTGGAGGATTTTCCAGATTCTAGTGGGGCCTGAAGTCATCCCGAGGGCAGGATCCTTCTCTCTGCACATGCTCGGCTTACACCCTGCAAGATAACTTATAAAGCAACTTGAGGTGGGGAAATTAAAAACAGTTTCAGCTAGTTTTAGACTGTTTCAAACTCAGTCTTTAGGGAAGGCCTTAGCAGGTAGGAATGGGTAGAAGGAAACATGGAAGGAAATGGGCCAATAGGAATTATAAAGTTAAAGACGATACTCCTATACGACAAGCCAGACTGTGTTGAAAGAGATATTGAAGGATGCTGCAATGACAAAATTATAATTCCACTAATTCGAACAACTTTCATTGATAGTTAATTATAGTTTGTGATACTCAAAGTTGGAAAAATTTACTTCAGTCAGAAAAATTATTTCTTAAGAATATGAATAGTTTGATATATTTATTTGAATACTTAAAGATAGTAGATAATCAATTGTAAAATCAAGCCAACTTAATCAGCAGGCCAAAACTTTCATTTTACACTGTAGGGACAGTGCCCCTCAAGCTTTAACAGGCAGACTAATCAGCTGGGATTATATAAAGATGCAGGTTCTGATTTAGCAGGTTCAAGTGGTACTCAAGAGTCTGCATTTCTAACAAGCTCCCAGGTGGAGCTGTTGCTGCTGGTTCTCAGAGGCACTTTGAGTGGCAAACTACAGGGAGCACCTAAGTCACCTAAGCTGTGCCTCTCTCAAGATGCCTTCATATCAGGTTCACATTTGGGACTTGTACAGTTCAAGGAGATCATCACCCCATAGGGGTTGTTCTAATCACATACTTTACCGCTTGAATGAACGGCCGTGTACCTGGGAAGAGTCAATCCCAATTACAGATTTGCAGTCTGTTTCCCTGCAGACTAGTCAGATGCTAATGTGATTGGATTTACCTATGGGTTCCAGGATGTCTGCTAGCAATTAGAGGTTTCTCTAGAGCTGCAATGGATCCAATTCCTGCAGAGTCTCATTCATCTGGAGACTGTACAGATGCAGGTAATCAATTTCTGACTTGCTCTGGCTGGTCGCCCTGATAGAGCTTTTTTAAAATTCATGGACTAGGTAGGACTCTCACAGCAACTATGTAGATCGGGACTAGCACAATCTGAAACAGTTGGGTCTAGGTGATTAGCTTGTTCTTGTCTCATCTGTTTCTCCCTCTTCCAGGAGAAATGGATCCCTTGAAGCAAGTGTGACCTCTGAGTCCAGCCCACCAGCCTGAGGCCCGGCCAGGAGGGAGAGTACCATGGATGGCGTGATTGAACAGAACAGTGTGCTGGTGCACAGTAAAATCTGTGACGCTGGCAAGAGGAATGGCTTAATTAACACCAGAAACTTCATGGCCGAAAGCAGAGATGGGCTGGTGTCTGTTTACCCGGCACCCCAGTACCAGAGCCGCCGGGTGGTGGCCAGCACCATGCCAGCCGTCCTGGATGGCAGTAGGAATGAACCAGTGCAGCAGCTGCTGGACCCCAACACCCTGCAGCAGTCAGTGGAGTCCCACTACCGTCCCAACATCATCCTGTACTCGGAGGGTGTGCTGCGCTCCTGGGGGGATGGCATGGCCACCGACTGCTGTGAGACCACCTTCATTGAGGACCGGTCCCCCACCAAAGACAGCCTGGAGTACCCTGATGGGAAGTTCATTGACCTCTCCACAGATGACATCAAAATCCACACCCTGTCCTATGATGTGGAGGAGGAGGAGGAATTCCAGGAGCTGGAGGTCAGAGGATGCTTTGGTCAGGGGTGTTCTAGGAAGCGGGCAGTGGGGGGGGGGGCATGAGTGCCTGACAAAAGGGAGGGAATGAATTTAGTGTGCAAAACTGCAGAGACCTAAGACACTTTCAGTGGCACTTCACTTCTAGTGTTTGTGGGGTGGAAGGAGTGCAGAAAGACCAGGTGGACAGGGCTCAGTGGGAGCTGCACGGCAGCTCTGGGCCGAGGTGACCTGAGGCAATGACCATCAGTCAGGATGGGGCTACGGATGCCAGCCTGGTGGGTTAGTTGGAGATCCTGCTGTCTAACACCCATGAGAGAGAGGTCATTGGCAAATGTGAGCAAGATGAGAGAGGGACGTGAGGCTGGTGTGCACGTGTGGGGGACAGTTTAGAAGGTGTGATTGCTGTCACATGTTCCTTAATTTGGCATTTCAAAGTTTCTGCTAAGAGGTTGTGGGTATAGCTGAAACCTGCGGAAAGAAATAATAGAAATCAGTAGCCTAAAGGGAGGACAGGCTGAATCATTAGAGGGATCATTTCTTTGTAGGCTGGCGGTCAGCTGAGGGCATTTGAGTTACACACACAGATGCGTGCCCATCAGGTGTGGTGAGACAGGGTCAGTGGTCATGGTGGTGCAGCAGATCCCCAAAGCCTGGCAGTGGGAGGGGCCTCTGTGGGAGGCTGCTCCCTGATCTGGAGCAGTTGTTCCACTTCAAGGGGTGGAGGGCGGGAGAGAAGGGCCAGACTTCCATCAGTGCACTGGGGAATGAACTGCGGGTGGGTCTGCCCTGCAGGAGGCAGCGTGTGGTCAAAGGGAAGGACGGTTGTTTTTGGCTAAGGAAGGAGAGAACATTTGTGTGAGTGGAGGAGGGGAAGTGTTCAGGGCAGAGGGCTCAGGATCAGGGCTGGCTGCTGGGCGCCTGCTGGGGAGGCACGTGCGTGCAGGGGACTAGCCTGTGAGGAGTCGCTGCATGCTACTGGTCTGAGGGAAAGGGGAGGGTGGGGGAGGGGAGAGAAGAGGAGGAAAGTGAGGGGTCCCTGTTGGCTGAGGGTTAGCACACAGCACAGCCAAGGGAGCTTTGGGGATGTGAGGAGCTTGGACAGCAGTGACTTGGAGGAAGGGACCATTCTAGAAGAGTCTCCTGAAGAAAGTGCCAAGCTGTAGGGTGAGCCCATATGATGATTTGGTCCCAGCCAGAGCTCCATGACCTCCTGCAACACATGGCTGTCCTTCGTTGACAGGTGAGGCTCTCCTGGCAGGGTGGATACAGGACCTCCTGCCTGTAGGATGGAGGAGGCAGGAGAAAGCAAGAGGACAGAGGTTTGGGGCCCCAGACTGGGTAGAAAGGCCAATGAAGTCATGAGGAGGGTGGGCCTGGAGATGCCAGCAGAACCAGAAGTGGCTGGAGAGGTGCCTTCTGTTGAGGAAATTCAGAAAGAGAGAGAGAGATAGAAGCGGCTACTGGAGCAGTCCCAGTGGCTGGAGCCCGTACCACCAGTTGGCAGAGTGGAGCGAGGTTGTTGAGGTGGGGGGCCCATGACATGTGACACCGAGGAGACTTCATCCTCTGATGACAGCTGTGCAGGGGCCGGAAGGGCAGCAGCTCTTTCTGAGCTGTGGGAAGGGCAGGAGAGCGATTTGGCCTCTGTTCAGCATCTGCCATTTCCAGGGTCTGAGGCCCCTGCTGGAAGCAAAAGCATCCATGCTGCCCAACCTGCACGAAGTTAGGGGGGCAGAACCATAAAAGTGCACTTCCTGCTCAATAAGGACTTAGGACATGGAATGCCCGGTCAGTTCTGAAAGCATCCAAAGGAGGGGCTGGGGTTTGAACTCAGTGTGGGAGGTCAGGTTGTCTCAAGGATGAGTCTGAGGCAGCCTTAGGGGCGGTGGTGGGAGAATCCCAGTGCCAAGGGACATGGGGAGCAGAGAAGCCTCAGAGGCAGCCAGCCCCGGAGCGCTGCAGGGAACAGCAGCTGGTTAGACGTGTAGATCGGAGAGGGGAATGGGGCCCCAGCACTGAAGACCTTATGGGCCATCTAAGGGAGACTGGATTTGGGCAGGGTCACAAATGCAGATGCCCACAAGAGGAGGGACAGCGAGAGAGGCAAGAAGGAGCCCAAGGGCTGAGGGACCCAGACAGCCCCACCCTGTCTCGCCATCAGCCCCAGCAGCCCCAGCCGCCGCTGCCACGCCTCCCAGGCCTTGCTGCCAGGCATCCTGAGGGAACTGTTCAGAGTAAGCAAGAGTCAGAATGCCCCAACACATCATTCCCGAGACAACCCAAAGTGAGCAGGGCATTGTGGGAGCTGTGGGCAGCAGGCCTGGATGTCTGGGCCAGCCCTGGAGACCCACAGGAGGGTTTCAGCAGGAGGGCCATGGTCAGATCTAGGTTTTGGAAGCTGCTCTGGCTGCACAGTGGGACCCGGCTGTGGGGAAGATGAGGAGAGTGGGCAGGGGGCAGGGGCCAGGAGCCCCACTGGGGCCTGTCACAGGGGGATAGCGAGAAAATCAGGCCAGCATCAGAAGTGGTGAAGAAATACTTAAAAAGTGAACTTGTCATTGGCTGGAGATGAGGAGAGAAGGGTGGGTGGGAAGGAGTCAGGACATGGCAGAAATGTCCCCAAATCCTAAGGTGGCCAAACCGGCCAGCAGAGAATTTCCAGCTTTGTTGTTAATTTTTGGAAAATCAGCTCCAATGTATAATATGCCCAGCAACAGAAGGCTTGGGATGGTCACTGGGCTGACAGTGTGAAAGAGATTTCTGAATGTCTCTGTTATCCTTTCTCATTCGTGTGGGTTTTTCCCCCTCCTTCCCATTACACCCTTATACTTTTCTTGAGTAACCACAGTGTCAAGGTCACTGGGAGATGAATGGGTGATCAGCATATCTTCTTAGTCCTCAGTTAACTTCCCTCCCTATTGCTTCACAATAGTCTATACTCAAAAGAATTCTTCCCCTTTCTTTATGACTTGCATGGGCTTCTGATTGAGCTTGCATATAAAAAGAGCCAATATTTAAATGCAAATTTTTTGTATTCATTGTACATCTCCATCCAGATTTTTGGCAATGACTGAATCCATTTTATTGCAATGATTTTTCATACAATGACCTCAGCCAGAAAATGTGGGTTTTGGAACACTGCAAAGGTCTGACATCTACTCAGAGACAATCTCTTATATTAAAAGTTAGAAGGTAGGTGGAGGAAGAGACAGACTTGTCTATCTGGTAGGTCCAAAACTTTGACAGGAGGTGCAGGCTTCTGGGACAGGGAGACTCACCTCTTGATCGTGTCCCTCTGTCATAGCCACAGTAGTGGCAGCCCACCAGAAATAATTCTTTTAATAATACTGCAACAGAAATCTTTAGTCATAATAATGGTGCCTACTCTGTATTAATATGTTTATAGCGATTTTTGATTGTAATGATAAGATGGAGCATGTGGGCCAGAAAAGGTACTTCCCATAACATTGATAGAAGAGCAGGTTGTTTAAAAACTGGGGTTCTTCACAGGCATTTAGTAAGACTTTCTGATTGACACCCATGGAGCTCATCCAGAGCAAGAAATGGCTCCTCGCATGGGCTCTGAAGGGAAGAAATTGAGGCATGCTGTGGCTACTGTGGCTCCCCCAAATGCTGTTTATGATGCCATTGGAGGACCTCAGGAGTCACCCATAGTGGTTAGTTTGGTCCTTTAAGAATTCTATGAAGAGATATTTTCTCAGAACCATCTTTACAGTACAGAATAGCCATGATGCTTTTTATTCCATTTTTTGACAAATAAAGAGAAATTAATCATGTTGGAAGTGCCATCGTATGTGTAGGAACTGTTCTGTGGTTCACCCTTTTTTCCATTGCATGAAATAATGGGGCATGTGTCAGTTAGCATGTGCTGCATAACAAATCACCCTAAAACTTTGTAGCTTAAACAACAACTATGTATTTAGCTTAGGATTCTGAAGTTCAACAGCTTGAGTTGGGTTCAGCTGAATGGGTGTTCTGCTGGTCTCAGCTGGGTTCACTTAGTAGGTCTACAGTTAATTGCCAGTCGGCTTGGCAGCTGTGCTTGAGAATGTTGGCTGGCTGTTTGCTTCAGGGACAGAGGTGATGGACCACACTTCTCTCATCACCCAGTAGGCTGCACTGGGCTTCATCCCATGGCAGCCATGGCAGGAATGCCAGGAGCAGCCGGAGGGGGTGTGTCCCAGTGCACAAGGACTTCTCAGGTCTTTGCCTGTGTCACACATGGGGTTGTCTTGTTGGCCAAAGCAGGTCAAATGGCCATACCAAGAATCTGTGTGGGAGGGCTACTTAGAGTCACAATACAGGAATGTGACAACAAATTAGATGGTAATACCACAACCATAGAGCAAAACAGTGTAGACGATTTGGCATCGTTTGTTTTTAAGGTCATCTAGTTGAACAGACTGACAGCAGGCATGGTTATATTATGACCGAAACAAACAAACAAAAAAAAACGCACAGTCAATATTGATCTGAGGTCTTTCCAGAAGACAGTTGTATGTCAGAGAAAAGACAAAAAACTGTGATTTTAACTCCTTTGGGCATTCTGTAGCCTCACTTGGTCTATAGTGAATTGGTACTGTTTTCTAGAAGTGCCCTAGTCAGGAGCTGGGCCCTGTGGCTGGAGCTCCCATGCTCAGTACACAGCTCTGCCAGGTACCTTGTCATGCCGCACTGCTGGGAGCAGCTCATCCCTGCATTTATAAAGGGTACTCCCCGGTCCGGAGAGGTTTGCTCACCAATACACATTTTTGCAAGAGCATGTGGAGTTTTCAGTCTGTTTCCACAGCTGTGGTAATGACATGAGTGGGCTCTGTAGCTAATTTAGAGAATATCTGTGGGAGGTCCTCAACTATTCAGCAAGTGTTCATGATCCATCCTACTGTACCTGAAGAGAGGTGTGCTGTTGATCACCAAGGGGTTGGTGGCTTGATGTCAGACAGAAGAGATGGTGGGGGCCTCTGAGGGGTTTTGGGGATGCT